GGTCCCCTTCCAATCAACTCTGACCAGCTCCCGACTCATGTCTTTATAGTATCCATTTCAATCACTACGCCCAGTCCCTTGCGCTTTAATTTTACACATTAATACTTTATGTGGGACTTTTGTCAAAAGCCTTCAGAAAATCCAAATAAACCGCATCCATTGTCTCCCCCTTACTCAACTCCACTAGTTACATCCTTAAAGAATTCCAGTAGATTTGTCAAGCATGATTTCCTTTTTGTAAATCCATGCTGATTGTGTCTCATTCTATCACTGTTTTCTAAGTGCTTGCTATAAAATCCTTCATAATGGAGATTCTAGCATCTTCCCCATAACAGACACCCAGGTCTATAATTCCTCCGGTTTTCCCTCAACCTCACTTGTTATGTTGTGGGGTCACATCAGCAACCCTCCAGTCTGTGGGAATTTATCCAGAGTCTAAATAATCTTGGAAGATGACCACCAATGTCTCCCCTATTACTCGGGCCACTTCCTTAAGCCCTGGGGATTTATCAGCCTTCAATCCCCATCATATTCTCCCAACACTGTTTCTCTACTCTTACAGATTTGCCTTAGTTCCTCTTGCTCACTAAACCCTGTATTCCCCATAATTTCTGGTACACTATTTGTGTCCTTTGTGAAAACAGAAGCAAAATATGAATTGAGCATGTCAGCCATTTCTTTGTCCCCCATTGTAAATCCCGCTGTTCTGAATTTTGTTTTTCTTTATCCATTCACGGGATGAGGGTGTCGCTGGCTGGGCAGCATTTATTGCCCATGCCTAATTGCCCAGAGGGCAGTTAAGAGCCAACCACATTGCTGTGGGTCTGGAGTCACATGTGTAGGCCGGACCAGGTAAGGATGGCAGATTTTCTTCCCTAAAGGACATTAGCGAACCAGATGGGTTTTTCCGACATTTGGCAATGGATTCACAGTTATCATGAGATTGTTAACTCCAGATATTTGTTGAATTCAAATTCCACCGTCTGCCATGGCGGGATTCGAACCCAGGTCCCCAGGATGTTGGTAGAGAGGTTGGGGAGGGTTTAAACTAGTGCAGCAGGGGGATGGGAACCAGAGGAGTAGGGTACTGGATGCAGAAATTAAGGGAGAGGTAGAAACCAGGGCAAACGTTACTAAGAACAAGAACAGGAAGGGAAACACAGCTGAAAAAAGAAGGGGTCGTCTGAAATGTATGTTTCAATATGAGAGGTATAATAGGCAAAGTAGACGAACTTAGAACTTTGGTTAGTACTTGGAACTAAGACATTATTGCAATTACAGAGCCTTGGTTGAAGGAGAGACCCAGGATTTAGATGTTTCAGGTGTGATAGAAAGGGATGTAAAAGGGGTGGGGGAGTTGCATTACTGGTAACAGAGTATCTCACAGCTGTACGGAGGGAGGATATATCAGAGGACTCATGCAGTGAGGCAGTATGGGTAGTACTCAGGAATAAGTGAAATCTCAATGCTGGGTGATATACTACAGGCCTCCCAACAGCCAGCGGGAGATAGAGCAGAGAATATGTAGACAGATTTTGGAAAGATGTAAAAACGACATGGTTGTTGTGGTGGGTGATTTTAACTTCCCTGTATTGATTGGGATTCACTATGTGCTAGGGGCATGGATGGGGCAGAATTTGTAAGGACCATTCAGGAGGGTTTTGTGAAACAATATTTAAACAGTCCAATCAGGGAAAGGCTTATACAGGACCTAGTTTCAGGAAATGAACCAGGCCAGATGAGTGACGTTTCAGTGGGGGAGCATTTCGGGAGTAGTGACCACAATATCGTGAGTTTTAAGATACTCATCGATAGAGATAAGAGCAGTCCTTGGGTGAAGGTATTAAACTGGGGGAAGGTGAACTACAACAACATTTGGCAGGAACTGGAGAATTTTGATTGGAGGTGGCTGTTTGAGGATAAATCCAGACTTGACATGTAGGAGTGTTTCAAAGAGTTCAGGAGAGGCACATTCCTGCGAGAATGAAGGATCGGTATGGCAAGTTACATGAACCTTGGATGACCTGGGATGTTATGACCTTGGTCAAAAAGAAGAGGGAAGCATATATAGAGATAATGAGGTGTAGAGCTGGATGAACACAGCAGGCCAAGCAGCATCGGAGGAGCAGGAAAGCTGATGTTTCGGGTCTGGACCCTTCTTCAAAAATTATATAAGGTCTAGGAAGATGGGAACTGTTGAAGCCCTTAAAGTATATAAGGAAAGTAGGAAAGAACTTAAACAAGGAATTAGAAGGGCTGAAAGGGGTCATGAAAAGTCATTATCAAACAGGAATAAAGAGAATCTCAAGGCTTTTTATACATGTATGAAAAGCAAGCAGGTGGCCAGGGAAAGGGTTGGCCCACTCAAGGACAGAGGAGGGAATCTGTGCGGAGCCAGAAGAGGTAGGTGAAATCCTAAATGATTATCTTGTGTTGGTATTCACTAAAGAGAAGGAATTGGTGGAGGATGATCTCAGGGAAGGGAGGGTCGAGTTTCTAAGCCAAGTTGCTATTAAAAATGAAGAGGCATTGTGCGTCTTTAAAAAGTATTAAGGTAGGTAAGTCCCTGATGGTATCTATCCCAGAATATTGAGGGAGGCAAGAGAACAAATTACTGGAGCATTGATAGACATCTTTGTATCCTCTTTGGCCACAGGTGAGGTCCCAGAGCACTGGGGAATAGCCAATGTAGTCCCATTGTTTAAGAAGGGATAATCCAGGAAATTACAGGCCTGTGAGCCTCACATTGGTGGTAGGGAAATTATTGGAAAAGATCCTCAGGATCTGTACACATCTAGAAGCAAATCAACTTATTTACGATAGACAGCATGGTTTTGTGCGGGGTAGGTTATGCCTCACTAACATGATCGAGTTTTTTGAGGAGGTGACGAGGATGATTGATGAGGGAAAAATGGTTGATGTCGGCTGCATGGACTTCAGTAAAGCTTTGATAAACTCCCTCATGGCAGATTGGTACAAAAGGTGATATCAGGGTGAGCAAGATGGATACAGAACTGGCGTAGTCATAGGAGACGGAGTGTAGTGGTGGAAGGATACTTTACAGAACGGAGGGCTATGACTAGTGTTGTCCCATAGGGTCAGGGCTGGGACCTCTGCTGTTCGTGGTCGACATAAATGATTTGGAGGAAAATGTAGCTGGCCTAATTAGTAAGTTTGCAGACGATATAAAAATTGGTGGAGTTGAGGATAGTGAGGAGGATTGTCGGAGGATACATCAGGATATAGATCAGTTGGAGGCATCGGCAGAAAAATGGCAGATGGAGTTTAATCCAGACAAATGTGAGGCGATGGATTTTTGGAAGGTCAAGTACAGATGGAAATTATACAGTGAATGGCAGAACCCTTAGGAGTATTGATATGCAGAGGGACCTGAGTGTGCATGTCCACAGATCACTGAAGGTGGCAGTGCAGGTAGATAAGGTATTAAAAAAGCCTTATGACATGCTTGTCTTCATTGGAAGGGGCATTGAGTATAAGGATAGACAAGTTATGTTGCAGCTTTATAGAACTTTAATTGAGTTCTGGTCACCACACTACCAGAAGGATGAGGATGCTTTGGAGAGTAGGTTTACCAGGATGTTCTGAGGAAGGATCATCAGACCCGAAACATTAACTCTGTTTTTTCCTTCACAGATGCTGGGCTTTTCCAGCAACTTTGTTTTTGTTACCAGGATGTTGCCTGGTATGGGGGCTTTTCGCTATGAAGAACGGATGGTTAGATTGGATTTGTTTTCACTGGATTGCGGGAGGTTGAAGGGTGACCTAGTAGAAGTTTGTAAGATTGTGAATGGCATGGATTTGAATGGAAAGTGTGAAGCTTCTCCCCAGGGGGAGGGGGCAATTAATAGGGGACACAGGTTCAAGGTGCGAGGGGGCAAGTTTAAAAGAGATGTACGGGGCAAGTTTTTTTCGCTCGGAGTGGTGAGTGCCTGGAATGCGTTGCCAGAGGAGGTGGTGGAAGCAGATA